AGTTGAAGTCTAGGCTATCCCTGCAGAGATCTGAAACGGTAGATCAACTTCAGCCCACGGTTGCTGCCTCCCTTTGGGGAAGGCTTCGTACCCTGTAAGGGGCAATGGGAGCAAAAGGACACCTAGATGAAGCAGCAAACACAACGCTGGATGTTGCTGAGCACACAGGTGTACCCCATGACCTCCTGCATTTGGGGAGCTTACAGGACCCAGAGAGAAAATGGTGCCAGGAAATGCCCACAAGACCACGTCTGAAGTGGTGAGACCCGCTGGGCCATCCAAGGTCTTGCTCTGACTGAGAATTAAGGAAGTATCAACAAGCTGGTCATTGGACTCAGTTGTGGAATGGGAGTGTGAAAGTGGGTGGTGTGGTCTAGGGGCGCACATGGAAGGCCTGGAGGGGTATTGGGATCCAGGAGACTGAGACAACATGGTTTTCTTCTCTTCCTGCATTAATTTACTTAGGATTATGGCCCCCAACTTCATCCATGCTGCTGCAAAGGACATGATTTCATTCCTTTTTATGGCTGTGTAGTATTCTGTGGTATATATGTACCACATTTTCATTATCCAATCTACCATTGATGGGCACCTGGTTGATTTCATGTCTTTATTATTGTAAATAGTACAGCAATGAACATATGAGTGCATATTGGCTTTTTGGTAGAATAATTTATTTTCCATTGGGTATATTCTCAATAATGAAATTGCTGGGTCAAATGGTAGCTATGTTTTAAGTTATTTGAGAAATCCCCAGACTGATTTCCAGTGGCTGAACTAATTTACATTCTCACCAACAATGTGTAAGTGTTCCCCTTTCTCCACAGCCTTACCAGCATCTGTGAGTTTTTTTACTTTTTTATAATAGCCATTTGACTAATGTGAGATGGTATCTCATAGTGGTTTTATTGGTATTTCTCTGATTATTAGTGATGCTGAGAATTTTTTCATGTTTATTGGCCACTTGTATGTCTTCTTTTCAGAAGTATCAGTTGATCTCCTTTGCCTGTTTTTTAATGGTGTTATTTGTTTGTCTCTTTGTTTAAGGTCCTTATAAATTCTGGATAGATATTATGCCTTCATCAGATGCGTAGTTTGAGAATATTTTCTCTTATTCTGTAGGTTGTCTGTTTACTGTCTTAATAGTTTCTTTTACTGTACAGGAGCTCTTTAATTAGATCCCACTTGTCTACTTTCATTTTTGTTGCAATCGCTTTTGGAGATTTAGCCAAAAATTCTTTGCCAAGGCTGGTGTTGCCAAGGCTGATGGTGTGCTTCCTATGTTGTCTTCTGGAACTTTTTCAGTTTGAAGTCTTTGAGGTCTTTGATCCATTTTGAGTTAACCATTGGTTAATGTGTCTGTTTTTGTACCAGTAACATGCTGTTTTGTTTACTATATAGTGTAGTTTGTTAGCTTTATAGTGTAGTTTAAGTCTGGTAGTGTGATGTCTTCAGCTTTGTTTTTTGTTTGTTTGTTCATTTGTTTTGTTTTGTTTGCTTAGGATTGCTTTGGCTGTTTGGGCTTTTTTTGGTTCTATATTAATTTTAGAATAGTTTTTTTCTAATTCTGTGAAGAATGACATTGGCGGTTTGATAAGAATAGCATTGAATCTGTATATTGCTTTGGGCAGTATGGCCATTTTAACAATATTAATTTTTCCAATCCACGATCATGAATTTTTTCCATTTGTTTGTGTCATCTATGATTTCCTTAAGCCTGTGCAGATCTTTCACCTCCTTAGTGAAAGCTGTATTACTAGATATTTTGTTTTCTTTGTGGCTATTTAAATGAGTTTGTGTTCTTAATTTTACTCTCAGCCTGGACACTGTTGGTGAGTAGAAATGCTACTAATTTTTCTACATTAATTTTGTGCTCTGAAACATTACTGAAGTTATTCATCAGTTTTAGGATCTTTTGACAGAGTCTTTAGGATTTTCTTGGTATAGAAATATATCATTAGCAAAGAGAGATCGTTTGACTACTTTTCCTATTTGGATGCCTTTTATTTCTTTCTCTTGCCTAATTTCTCTCTAATACTTATAGTACTATCTTGAATAGGAATGGTGAGAGTAGGTATCTTGCCTTCTGCTGTTCTCAAGAGGAAAGGCTCAAGCTTTTGCCCATTCAGTATGATATTTGATGCGGATTTGTCATACATGGTTCTTATTATTTTGAGGTATGTTCCTTTGATAGATGTTGAATTTTTATTGATAGTTTTTTTCTGCCTTTATTGAGATAACTATGTGGGTTTTGCTTTCAATTCTGTTTATGTGGTGAATCATATTTATTGATTTGCCTATGTTGAATCAGCCTTGCATTCCTGGAGTGAATTCTGCTTGACCATGACATATTAATTTTTTGATGTGCTGCTGAATTTGGTTTGTTAATATTTTGTTGAGGAGTTTTGCATCTATTCAATCTTGGGAGACTGCATGCTTCCAGGAATTTATGCATTTCCTCTATATTCTCTAATTTGTGTGTGTAGAGTTGCTCATAGTAGTCTCTGGGGATCAGTATTTCTGTGAGATCAGTTGTAACATCACCTTTGCCATTTCTGAGTGTGTTTACTTGGATCTTCTCTTTCTTTTTTGTTCATCTAGCTAGGTGGGTCTATCAATTTTATTTACTCTTTCAAAGAAACATCTCTTGGTTTCATTTGATCTTTTGTAAGAAGTTTGCATCTCAATTTTATTCAGTTCTTCTCTAATTTTACTGACTTCTTTTCTTCTGCTAGGTTTGGGTTTCATTTGTTCTTTTCCCTCTAGTTCTTTTAGATGCAAAGTTTGACTGCTAATTTGAGGTCTTCGTAACTTCTTGATTAAGGGATTTAGTGCAATAAACTTTCCTCTTAACACTGCTTTAGCTGTACCCCAGAGATTTTGGTAAAGTATATTCCTATTTTATTAATTTCAAATAATTTTTTATTTCTGCCTGAATTTTGATGTTCATGCTAGAGTCATTTAGAAGTAAGTTGTTTAATTTCCACATATTTATGTAGTTTTGAGAGATCTTCTTGATCTTTCTTTTTATTTGCATTGTGTCTGATATTAAGCTTGATATTATTTTAATTTTTTTGAATTTATTGAGACTTGATTTCTTACCTAGCATGTGATTGATCTTGGTATATGTTCCATGTGCATATGAGAAGAATGTGTATTCTGTCTTTGTTGGTTGAAGTTTTCTGTGGCTATCTATTAGGTCCAATTAGTCAAGTATCAAGCTTAAGTCCAGAGTTTCTTTGTTAGTTTTCTGTCTCAGTGATCTGTAAGTGGAGTGTGAAAGTCTCCCACTATTATTGCGTGTCTGTCTAAGCCTTCTTGTAGGATAAGAACTTGTTTTATGAATCTCGGTGCTCCAAAGTGGGATGTGTATATATTTAGAATAGTTAAGCCTTCTTGTTGGACTGTACCCTTTGTCATCATGCAACACCCTTCTTTTTTCCCAATAAGTCTTTTGCAGTCCAGGTAATACTCTTCTTTGTCCTTCTTAATCGTTTAAAGTCTGTTTTGTCTGACATAAAACTAGTGACTCCTGCCTTTAATGTTTTATATTTGCATGGTAAATCTCTCTCCAACTTTTTACTTTGAGTCTATGGATGTCATTACATGTGATATGGAGTTCTTGAAGACAAGAGGATGATTGAGTCTCGTCTTTTTATCAAGCTTGCCATTCTATGTCTTTTAAGTGGGGCATTTAGCTCCTTTACACTCAGGGTTAGTATTGATGTGTGGGATTTTGATACTGTCATTGTGTTGTTATGTAGACTTATTGTGTAATTTGCCTACAGTGTTCGTGGGCCATGTGTTTAAGTGAGTATTTATGGTAGCAGGTTTTATTCCTTTGATTCCATATTCAGCACTCCCTTAGGACCTCTTGTTAGGTTGGACTAGTTGAAATAAATTCATTCAGCATTTGCTTGTCTGAGAAGGGTTTTATTTCTCCTTCACTTAGGAAGCTTAGTTTGGCAGTTTATGAGACTCTTGGTTGGAATTTCTTTTCTTTAAGAGTGAGAAAAATAGACCCTCCCCTTGCCATCTCTTCTGGCTTATAAGGTTTCTACTGAGAGGTTCACTGCCAGCCTAATGAGAGTGTTCTGAATGTGACTTGAACCTTCTCCCTGGCCGCCTTTAAGATTTTTTCTTTTGCATTGACCATGGTGAATCTGATAACTATGTGCCTTGGGGATGGTCATGTTGCATATTATCTGGACAACATCTTCTGTATTTCTTGAATTTACATGTCAACCTCTCTAGAGAGTTTAGAAAAAATTTTGTGGACTATGTCCCAAATACATTTTCCAAGTTGCTTATTCTCTCTCCTTCTCTCAGAGATGACAATTAGTCATAGATGTGGTCTCTTTACATAATCTCATATTTCTAGGAGGTTGTGCTCATTTCTTAAAACTCTTTTTTCTTTATTTTTGACTAAGTTGATTCAAAGAACCAGGCTTTGACCTCTGAGATTCTTTCCTCAGCTTGATCTATTCTGCTGTACTTCTGATTGTATGATGCAATTCTTTCTTCAACTCAGCAAGCTCAGTTTGGGTCTTTTATAAAATTGCTATTTCACCTTTCAGCTCTTAAATAATTTCACTGGGTTACTTGACTTCCTTAGATTGGATTTCAGCTTTCTCCTGGATCTCCATAAGCAGATTCTGCATTCCATGCCTGTCATTTCAGTCAGCTTGGTTAAGAAGCATTGCTGGGGAACTAGTGGACTCATTTAGAGATAAGGGGACACTCTGGCTCTTTGAATTGCCACCGTTCTTGCACTGATTCTTTCTAATCTGGGAGGGTTGGTGTTCCTTTAACTGTGGTGTAAACTAAATATAGTCAGTTGGCTTCCTTTCTGGAAGTTTTCAGAGGGCTAAGGCTCTAAACAGAGTCTTTGTTGAATTCTAGTCCTGGGCCTCACAGGAAGGAAAAGCAGCAGTTTTTTGTGTTGTAGTTGGGGCTTAAATCCAGTAGATGGCGCTTGAGAGCAACGGGCGGAAGCTATGCTCTCATTCTGCCACTCGGCTGCTTTGGGTATCCCGGCCTTTGAAACCGTGCTCTGTGATGCAAGGGAGAGAGAGGTGAGTCCCCTCCTGGGTCTTAGGGGGAGCGACCTCTGATCACTGGCACTGTGGCTGCGACTTTGTTGTTAGGTATTTCAGGTCGTGGTTCTCCTTCAGGCAGAGGTCCAGCAGGGAGACAGGCCCCATCCTTACTGGACCAGCCCTGTGGAGGGAGGCACGCCTAGGTTCCACAGCAGCCCACGGACCTGTGCCACTCACCCCTCTCTGACAGTTTTCTGAGAGTGTGGGCTCCTCTCCTGCTCGAGCTGCGGGCCCAGTTCCGCACTCTGGAGCCACAGACCTGAGCCCTGGGACGTCTGGATCTGCTCACAGCTCCCTCCTGGGGACCCACGGCGTTAGGATCTGGATGCACTGAGGGATCTAAACAGCTCCCAGGCTGCCGGAATGCAATCAAGTGGAGCCAGGTACCCGGGCTGAGCAGCTGAGGCTGCACTGTGTACACTCTCCTATGGGGTGGTCTGGCAGGAACCCTGGGAGAGACTGGCAGGCAGGTGGGCCTGCGGGACAGATGTGCCCTAATCCTGCGGGGAAGCCCTTCTTCTCCCATTTTGAGGGTTATTTGGGGCCAGAGCCTCTCAGAGGGAGAACAGGGAGCCCTGGGGGATGAATGCTCCCCCCGGCAGTGGCCAGGCTCCCCTGGAGCTGTCTCACAGACAAAGCCTCCAGCTCCGTGCCTGCTGAAGCTCTTTCTCCATCTAATCTCTAGTGAGAGTCTAATGTCAGCTCAGCGGGGGAGACGGGAAGTCCTCTGCAGCTAGGATCCCAGAGGTCTGTGGCAAGAGAATAAATTGTTGTTAAAGAATTCCTCTTTGCTCTGAATTTGCATTCAGCTGACCGTTTGCATGTGACCCAGCTTCACGATCTGAGATTTGTACACAATGTACAATTTATTTGAAATATTGGAAGTTGCTTTTCTGCTATGTATTGACTTGGCATTTCTAGTTAGGTTTTCACTTCTGTTATGATCTTCTGTATGGCCCATTTTGGCCTGGATGTCAGGTGCTCTTTTCTCCCTCCTCACTCCAGGACAATATAATAATGTTCATTCAGGTTGAGTCTACTGCTTTGGTGAGTTAAAAGACATTTTAACTCATAAGAATGGCCCTAAAAGCTGGGCACTTTTTCAAGAGAGAGAGTTTCCTTCACCTGAACATTCAAGTTGTTTGATAAGGGTGTCCCATGTCCCTCCCCTGGCCAGGTCAAGGCCACTACCATGTGAGCCTCTGCTCTATCCAGGTTGCTCCCATATATTTGGATGATTAGATGGGAAGCTGGTCCAGAGGGCAGATACAAAGATGGAAATTTGACGCCAGCTGATGAGTCCGCATGTGACCCAGTGGTATCATCTAGGAATTTTCACACATTATGCACCATATTTGAAATCCTGGGAATTTTTTTTCTTCTGTATACTGACATAGACTTTGCTTGGATTCCCTTTGCTGCTTACAAACAAAAACAAACACAAAAAAATCTGTAAATACAGCATTTATGTTTTCCAATTGAATCTCAAAATAAGTTGGGGCATTGGGAAAGAATTTAGTTGACTTTTGAGTGTAAACCAAAGATGTATTTCTTTGAAAAGATGAAACAAGAGGGCTGATTATCCTAAACATGAATGTCTGCACAGATTGAAATTCCCAAGATGCCCAGGAGCCCAGCCTTTGCACAGCCTCCAGCACCAACATTATCTGGAAAGGGGAAAATTTTTCAAAGAAAGAGCATTAAGAGATACATTATTAGAATTATTAGAATAATAATACATTTGCTTAAATAAAACTAACAATTTTTTAAAGCACTGGTTGGTTCAATACCAGTGATATTATGCCATTCTGTGTCAATGGCATACCTACATAGATATCTACTTTATGAATGAGTACTCAAAATTTTTTCTGGGCAGTAAATATACAATAAATATAAATTCTTCTTTATCTACCTTCCACTACTCTGAGAAATTTCCTTTGTTGTATTCATCAGCAGTTGGCCCGACCGCCTTCACTCTGCTCTGCCGCATTTAGAAACTTTGTATAAAAATGACAGTAATATCTGCAGTGGCATATGTTACCCAGATGAATCAGAGTTTTTACTCCCTGTTGTAAGTGCCTCATCTTTCCTGTACCAATTCTATTCTAGATCTTGAGAGCATTTCTTAGTGACTTCCTTCTTATTATCTTCAAAAGATGTTATTCTAAGGGCCCAGAAGACTTTGTGCTACTTGAAATTCTTACATATAAAAGTATACAAGAATCCAGTAGTTTTTCATTGGCACCCAGGAATCTTTTATTCCATCCCCTTTTTTCACTTGTCAGCTTCTTCACTAGACTATGTGTTCCTTGGAGACAGTTTAATTTATTTCTGTATTCCTAACATTTAGCACAATTTACACACATAGTACGTAAGTAATTCCCAAAGCAAACTGAACTGAGTAGTGTACCCATTTATTTGTGTTTCACATGGCACCTAACAGAGCACCTAGCACACAGTAGCTTTCAGAAAACATTTGGTGAATGAAGGACTTATTGGTACTCACGTGTTTTTTCAACCACTTCACCCTTATACAAGGGGATATGTTTGCAGAGTTTCTCAATGGGTGACCCAAACAGGAACCAATCCACGTCTGTGATCAGAGACTCCAGAGGGTTATACTTGACCCAGGTGTATTTGTTGGAGAACATGTTGTTCAGAGCCTAGATCAGTATAACAGAGAAAAACAACATAAAATAAATTGACAATATTTGGTGTACCTTATTCTAAATTGTGACTATTTTTCTCATTCAGATTATTAAACAGAAAGAAGTTAGGGATCTCAAGTCATCATCTCTTTTTGAGTATTCTGTGAAGTAGTCTCATTAGTAATTACCAGTGTGATTTTACCTCTGGTGGCAATGAAACCCAAAGAAGGTAAGTTCCACATCAAAGGTGGCACATATGAGAAGTTGTAGAGGGAGGCTTAGACCTTGGGTCTCTAGCCATAGTGCAGTGTTTATATATGTTCACTATACTGTATTATTTCTTTGCATCTTTGTGTCATTGAATATTACAACTTCTCTTATTATTCTTTCAATTACTATTTCCCATAGCCCTGATCTGATAAGAGAAGTTGGTCAGTCCTTGTTATATGGAATTTATTATAAGTTCTTGTATTTAAGACTATGTGGTGGAAATCTAGCTGAAATGTACTCCTGCTCTTAAAAAATAATAAAATAAAAGTGAAAACACTTTAATAATTTTAATAATTTGAATATCATATTTATGGTAAGTCGTGATAGTATGATCTTCTCTCTCACCCTCTTCGTTTCTCCATAAACACCAGTATTGCCTGGCTTAAGAACAGAGAATACTCGAGTGCCCCAGAATTACCTGTCTCTCGTAGATGTACCGTTGGAGATTGTTCAGAGGAGGGATGTTCTGACGGTCCATCTTCAGGATGAAGCAGGCTCTTCGGGAGAGCACCCTGGATGCAATGTAGCCCTGAGGCAGCAAGAGTACAGTTACTCATCTTCTCCAGTTTCCTGAGATCTGAACCTGGTGAAGAAGATGCCTGAAGCTCGGAGGAAAGGCTTGAACATGCACAGTGAATATCTGATGGAATTGCTTTCCAACCTGCAATCAATTTTATCTACTTGACTTATTTTACACATTTTCATTTTTTCACTTGTCATTTCTACCCCTTTGAAATTGTGCAAACCCATGACTGTATTCTCCTTTTTGTGTTATAGAACCAGAGTCTGCAGTTTGAGATTTGAAAGATTGAGAACAAGCAGTTCTCTATCTCTTTCCATTAATTTTTTTTTTTTTTTTTTTTTTTTTTTTTTTTTTTTTTTTTTTTTTTTTGAGCCAGAGGTCTCACTTTGTTGCTCAGGCTGGAGTGCAGTGGTGCAATCTCGGCTCACTGAAGCCTCCACCTTCTTGATTCAAGCAATCTTCCTGCTTCAGCCTCCTGAGTAGCTGGGATTACAGGTGTGCACCACCACACCCAGCTGATTCTGTATTTTTAGTACAGATGGAGTTTCACCATGTTAGCCAGGCTGGTCTTGAACTCCTGACCTCAAGTGATCCACCCACCTTGGGCTCCCAATGTGCTAAGATTACAGGCATGAGCTACTACACCAGGCCTCTTTCCACTAATTTTATTCTGTCTCCTCCCCAGTTTGGGGTAAATACAATATTCTTTAGCACTGTGCTGTTCAATATGATAATTGATAGCTATATGTTTCTATCCAAATTTAAATTTAAATTAGATAAAATTTAAAATGCACTTCTGCTACACGTTTTGAGTACTCAATAACCACAAGGGGCTGGGGGCTTCCCTACTGGAAATGCAAATCTAGAACACTTCCACCACTGCAGAAAGTTCTGTTAGACAGTGCTGCTTTAGAAACTCTCATAAGCATACCCATACCCACACTCATGCCCCCACCCCAAACACACGTCTCAACTATCCTCCTCTCATTTACCATCTTCTCTTCCTCTCCAGTTTTTTCCATCCCTTCACCTCAAACCCAAGCTGGCTGGATAGGGATGGGTTGGAATAAGGTGGGATTAAAAGAGCAATGGAGGGTAAAGACCCTGGGGCCAGAAGGGACCTAAGGCCACTGAGTCTTCACCTGGAATGAAAATTGTCTCTACAGAGTTCAAAGTAATGATACATTCTAGAAGGTTGTATCTAATAGAAATCATTCTGTTTCCTATTTGTCAATTCTCACAAATTGTCCGTTCCTAAAATTCAAAAATAGACAGAGGCTGAGCCTGGTGGCAATGGAAGAAGCTTAAAGAAAATCCTTGCCACTCTTATTTTTTACGGACACTTTTGAGATTTCCGTGAAGATTGCTTAAAAACAATTTCAGTGCCACTTCCTTTTAAACCACATCTTCGAATGAGTCTATACTTTCAAATGTGCCATTGAACTGTCAACACCAATGGGGAAAAGTAATGTAAAGATATTTCTAGAAGAAAATGAACAGAAAAGCATGTTCAAAAGTCTAGTGAGAAAAGCTGGAACCTACATCTAGCCATAGTGCATAGCTCTGAACCTGGGTAGAAGCAGGTTCACAATACGTTGGTGGAACAAACGGAAAACAAATGAATAAATAAAGGATGAAAGATTAGTTTTCTGAGCCAGTTTCTGTGACTTATTCTTAATGCTAGTATCTAACATTTGAAAATAGTTTAGTGCTTTTAGTTAGCAGATTTTCTTTCTTACAGAAAAAGTATGATTTATTGTCTATTCTATGTACATAATTAAATGTGTATAGTTGCTCTAGATTTCTGCAATGTTGTGATTGCTTTGAGATTGTTCTTTTTATTCTTTTATTCTTTTTTTTTTTTTTTTGACTCAGGATCTTGTTCTGTCACCCAGGCTGGAGTGTAATGGTGCAATGTCAGCTCACTGCAGCCTTGACTTCCTGAGCTCTAGCAATCCTCCCACCTCAGCCTCCCGAGTAGGTGGGACCACAGGCATGCACCACCACACCTAGTTAATTTTTGTCTTTTTGGTAGACATGGGGTTTTGCCATATTGCCCAGGCCAGTCTCCAATTTCTAGGTTCAAATGAGCCTCCTGCCTCAGCCTCCCAACGTGCTGGGATTACAGGCGTGAGCCACCATGCCCAACCGATTGTTCTTTAACTGCATGATGTTCTGTGTTAGAAGCCCTATTCATTCATTTATTCATTCAACAAATGTGCATGAGGTCCGCATGCTGGGCTTTGCTTTGGGCTTTGGTTACTCTTCTCTGCACTTTCTGAGCCTGTAGTGGGATAATAGCATCACTCTTCCAATTTCTACCTGAAAAGATCAAGCAAATGCATATGTTTCCTGTCATATATTTTTCTTCAAAATGTTTTTTTTAACCAATTGCTTGATTATTAAAAGAAAAAAGTGAAAGTGAGGAAATTCTTAAAGAATTACAAGGTTAAATTTAAGAATTCAAGTGTATGTGTCCCATATATATAGATCCCTCTGCTCTTTAGAAAACGAGTCCTGAAGAACACAGAAATTCATTTGCTGCTTACATGTTTATAGTCAAAAATTGTGGTAGATGAGCATGATCCTGCATGGACGTTAACAATGGCGATATTTTTTTCATTGTCAATTGTCACTGTCTCTTGAAGATTGCCACCATTGTTGTTTGGGCTGATGATGTTATAAACCTAGATTGAAAGGAAAGACCAAATGTTTTTCCATAAATCTTATACATTTGAAAGGCAACTCTTCTGACAAAATAAAGCCTCTGCCTGCTATAAACAAGAGATTAGAAACTAAAACTCTCCACTGGGATCCCAGTCCGAAAGTTTATGATGCCATAAGACTGCAAAGCTTTTTCTTATAGTTTACTATCTTATGTATGGGAGAAGCAATGACATCACAGGAGAAATGAGACTGGCCACATTTTAAAGCAATGGCTTACATTTGCAAAGTACTGTGGTTGGAGAGGAACAGCCAAGCTCATTGTTTCCATTATTGGTAATTTCTGATATTCCATTCCAAATAAGGCCTATGGCCTCTCTACTGTCTTTCAAGTTCTCTTGTACCTTCCCTTTTTCCCCCCAACATTCCCAAAAGATAAAGCCCATAAGGAACCAACCGAACCAACTCACCTCATATCCATGAGACTGTATCCCAAAGATGGTCAGCACCACCAGAAATGCCACCTGAAAAACAGACCCACCACATCCATTCTAGAGTAGTCATTAGGGTGGGGGCAGGAGGGAACACTGGGCAGGAAAGGCACAGATACCTCAGAAAATGTACACCGAGAGACTGAGTGGCCACGGATGGTCAGCACTCCCTTTCCAAAGTGTGAAGCACACACATTCTCTCAGTTCACAGGCATTTGTTGAGCTCATTCTACTTGCCAGACATGCAGCTCTACATTTGCCACCTAATTCCCAACTCTTTCTAGCATTATAACCATCTAGATAGTAGGAGAAACTTGGAGCAGGTGAGTAGTGAAGGACTTATTTTACTATGGAAATACCCAGGTATGATTCATACTGCCTTGGATAACAGTGGTCAAAATGTGTCCTCTGGTTAAAAAAATAATAATTAAAAAAAAAAAAACACTTTAATCCCTTAAGACTGAGACGGTAATACAGATTAAAAATGAATCATGGGTGACAAAGATACAATAGGTTCCTAAGGAAAACTATGAAAATAGAATGCTCGAGCGCACAATTAACTTTTGAGGCTGACATCAAGCAACACTGTCACATTCTCCTACAACCCATGCCTTAGAGCTACTATCCTCCGAGTGCTGGGCCCACAGGTCGTGAGGCTGACATTGAGGCAGTTCTGATATTTCGCTGTAGTTGTGTAAGAGTCGCTCCAACATGCTAACCCTGGGTTTGTACCCTCTCTTCTGAACATCGGTGAACTGTACTATCACTGAAAACTACATCAGTACATGGTTTACTGTACTTTCATTGAATACTACTGATGAAAGGAGTCTTGGGGAAAGGGGATATTTTTAAGAACTGTCAGTGGAACTTTTCTATTTCCCTTTCCATCCCACCCTTAATATTTCTCTTCTGGCAACCAGCAGTAGAGCATCTAAAGAAGACCTGTGCACAGACATTCAACCTGCTGTAGGGATACATCTCCTCTTACCACAGACCAGCTCTAGCAGCATATGATACTCCTGGATATTCTAATGAATAAGTCTAAAATAATGGTTTGAACAAGTAGTTCAAGGACTAAACCACCTTAATGGTACGATTAGAGAAAGCTTGGGGAGTGTCCTGTGTCCCAAAATGATCTTCCATCCAACATCATGGTTATATAATAATTTTGTGCTTCAGGGTCGGGTCTCAATTTGGAAAATCAAGAGAGCCCCAAGAGAGGGAGCTCTTTAAGCTGACAGTCTTAAACATTTTAGAAAGAGGTACTTAACATTTTGCTTTCCCCTTAGCAGCTGAATGAGAATAAAGGACAGCGATTGGGGGAGCGAGTTCCATTCTAGGTCAGAACATAGCCCACTCTCCATGCACTGCAGTGTGGAACTATGGAAGCTGGTATCAGATGGAGGAGTAGAGTGGCCATAGAAGGAATGTTTTGTTCTAAGGGAAAATTTAGTCATAACAGAAGGCCATTGAAGACTGTGGCTGCTTAAATTTGCCATGATTGCACCTGCAAGTGGGGATTAAGATGAATAAATTACATTCTAAATCCCACATTTATGGGGTTGGGAAAATCACATTCCTCTGCCTCTCAGTCTCTTTGTCTGTAAAATGGAGAGAATGCTACTCAGCTCATAGGGTTGTTGCAATGAATAGATGAAATTATTCATGTGAAATGCTTAGTCTAAGGCTTAGTATGCATTCAAGAAATAAGAGGTAGTATTATTACTATCATGATATTATTTTTAAATTACCACTTCTCTGTTAGCAAATGTAGTTGTTTTAAATAGCCCACATTCCCTACACAGCTCATATTAAGGGATTATTATTAAACATCCTTAAAATCAAAATTCTCTAGGTATTTCTTTGTATTTTTTTTTAGTAAACATCTCAAAACAGACAAAGGACAAAAAAGTCAGACTTACTCAACACTATTTCTGCCAAGATATCATTAATTCAATCACATAAGCTTAGGAGCATGCACAGTATCTGTCCAAGACCCCCAAAATCCACGTCATATTAGATACGAGCATTTCCTGTAGTCACCACAAGAGTATCAAGAAGCAGAAACAAATACTCACAAGGATTTTCATTTTGCCCGAAGGAAGATGGTGC